TTAGCCACCTTCTTACCTCTAAGAAGTAAAAGATGATAGAAAAAGAAAAATAACAAATTATATTTACCATTGAAGAACAACAGGAAAGGAGGCATTGTTGAAATCTTAATGTTTTTACGTAGCCTACTAATATTTTTTATAAAACATTGCAGAGCGATAAAAATCTCTGAATTTACTGAACAGAATTGAAAATCCTTTTATAGGATTAAAATAGACGCGAAATTGGAAGGTGCTGCAGTGAACTTTATGCTAAAAGAAAAAGTTAAAACTACATTTTTTTCACTCATAGACCCTATCACTTGACGAAGATGTTTCCTTAATACAAAAGGTTTATAGTTTGTATGAACAAAATGACAGTACAGAACCCGGCGTATTACGTGTACAAACAATACCGAGTTTACAGAGCTAAGATTGAAAGCTTAAAAAAAATTTATATTGATCTGCAAATTACGTGTATATGAATACTGAGCGAAGACTCAGAATGATAAACAAAGCAGTAATTGTGTCTAGCAGTAGGTGCTCGATCTTGCAAAAGATGGCGTTATAATATGTTAGATAAGAACAGATGTTTGCGTTTGAGTAAGAGAGAATGATAATGTAAGAAATTTAAAAAAGATGTCACACTATTATCGACTTTTTTTATTTGGAATTCAAAAAATTTATACTATATCGATATCGGTCACTCCTTTAATAGCGTTTTTATGCAGTCTATTAATATTTATCTTACGTAACATTTTTATAATAATCAAAAAATAATTAATCAAAATATGTATTTCCATGCAAAAAAAATAATGCAAGAAGAAAAGATTAAATATAAAAAGGAAATGAAACTAAAATATTATTTCAAGTTATATTTAGGATGCTAATAAGGGAAACACTGACTTTTGATGAGCTTTGAATATGTTGCAGAACAAAAGAAATATTAGCCTTATATATTTTATCTGCTTATCGAAATTTAGTGGTCAAAATAACTCCTTAAAAGTAACGGATTCTTTTTTATTTTTGATATTTTTTAAAAATGCGATTGCATTATTATTAAATAGGAAATAAATCTTTTATATAAAATGTTATATTATATACTTTATACTTTCAAAGATATTCGCTGAAAATGAGAAAATCCATTATTTTCGAGAAGTTGTTTCGAACCTCAAGATAAGCACATAAAAAAATATGGGTGTAATATTTTTTGATATTTTACAACATATCCAAAACCGATAAAAGATAGTTCCGACGAATTTCTTGCAAATAATATGTCGTAAAATGTATTTTGTGAACAATAATTAGTTTTTGACAACAAGCGACAATTATCTTAAGATAATATTCAAAGATGAACAATTTCCAGCAGTTTAATTACTTAGCGCTCGTTTCGCACATAATTTACTTAATGGAGATTCATTACTCATTAATCCTGAAATATTTTTTGTAATTCGATTATCAGGAAAAAATTTATGCTAAAATATTATATATATA